CCGTGCGAGTTTCGATGCAAGGAGCTCGGTTGTTTCGATATGACTTTTGCTCAGAAGTCTTGAAACTTATTGTTATGTGTATTGTATTACATTTTAATTTGTATAAACTTGTTGGGACAAAGAGTATACGCGACTGGATGTAAAAAGAGTACCAGTAAGAATTTATTTAATTGATTGAAATTTGACTCAAATAAATGGAGCCCATATGAACGAAATATCTACTAGTATAATTGCTTTTGTGTCAACAAAACGTACATACGTCACAAAAGCTGTAAAATAAAATTTCACAGTCAGATCCTCGGGTTCACTTGGAACTAGTTTACAAATTTATCCAACGTTTCCAAACTGTATAACTATCAACTCATTATAGTTTACTGTATTACTTTCAAACGATCTATAGTAATTTTTTAATCGCAATTTGCCCAGCAATCGTCCGTTGGTTATCACATGTCTGTCACGCGTTTACCCACCGCGACAGATGTTGCCGAAGAGGAGAGCGGAAGCTGTTACATCTGTCCAGAGAGCGTGCGTCGCATCTTGACGACAATGCTCGACCTAAGCCTCTTGAAGAGCCCATCTTTCCTGATCCTGGCCATATCTGGCGGACTCACGATGATGGGCTTCTACACACCCTTCATGTACGTTCCAGGTATCGTATCACGTTTCATCGAATCATTTTCCAGAGGCGTCAGAAACTTTTAAAAAAATATATATATTCTCTTACTTTTTCAGACTTTTGAAACAGTCTGACGAAAATATTTTTTTTCTTTTTTCTTTTTTTACGAGTACGATATAGAGATTTGACGTGAATCTCTATTTTTCGAATATTTTTAACACCGATCGAGAACCGAGCAATGATTTAGATTCTTTACGTTTTAAGCATTTGATTTTCTAAAGTTATAGTAGAAGTAGAAAGCACAGTGGTGAAAAGATTTTAAACGAAATTCTTGGAATTTCCGATATTAAAAGTTGACGATATATCGATGCTTTACTTGATTGTTTTATTTTTTTT